CCCTTCCCTTCTGTTATTTTCGAGGCCTTCAGCTTTAAATGTACAGGCTTAAAGTGCGCTTGCAACTGTTTTCTTTTTATTTCCGAATGTGTATTGCCTTAGCCAGCCACCAGATGTTCTGCATGCACTCTTGGAAATGTGTAGTGAGACTCTTTCGGAGCTGGATGGAGAAATAGCTATCAGAGAAAAGCACAAGAAAAGCAGTGGATTTTTTTGAAAGGACAGGCATACAGTTACAGAATTGGAGTTTTGTCCGGTTTAGTATTTTTCAAGTATAAAGGCATTTCAGGAGAAAGGGGACTTACCTGGACATTCTGGGTTAGGCAGTGAGACTGCTAGCTAAAACATGTTTGCTCTGCTGTGACTATACACCTACAGATACTCCCGATCAGGGACTGACACAAACTAGCTGTAATGCCCTCCGCACAGCATATTGCTTGGAAATAAAGGTGACACCTGCATGGCACGCAGCACTGCCGTGCAGAGAAATCAGAGCCAGACCAGGAACAGCTAGACCAGAAGCCGGGCAGTAGCATGGTGCGTTGTTGCGTGCTGACTGCACATCCCTCCTGAGAAGCACGGTATGTTCGCTCGGGACGACCTCTGCACTAGTGTAATTTTACTGCCCTAATACAATATGACAGCTTCCAGTGCTGATCTGAAGTGACGCCATCTAACAGCCCTGAAAACAGTAGCGTTTCATACAGATATTTCACACCAGCACAGTTTGCCTACAGAAAGTGATGAGATGCCCATCTAAAGCAGGTTAACATGGTTTGTCTGTCCTCGTTTTCATGGTGACGTATTTACGTGAGATTGCTGTGAGATTGCTGTGTAGCTCGACCCAGTAAGTCCGCTTGTTCTCGTGCCCTCTCTAGGCTCGCGGCTGTTTCCCTGGGCACTATGTGTTAGGGAATGTGTATCTGTATGAAAGAGCTGCTGCCATTTTTCACTTTCCTATTGTATTACCACACATGCAGGTCTCCTGTCTGCATCTCCTTGCATATCTGGGCTTGGTCTCAGTCATCCAAATGCATATTAAGGCGTCCAGATATCTTCATGTAAACTTTTCATTTTTGCAGTCACTGGTCTTTGCTCTTGGGGGATGTGCCATCCTGGCAAGGCAGGCACCATATCCTCTGAAGCCCCCTCCTCCAACTTCCTCTCAGGAACAGGTGAGCCTCCACTAGTGCCTAGCACTCCACGTTTAAAGCTACTCCAGTGAAGCTGTAGATGTTGCTGTCAGCTCAGGATTCCAGGCAAGCATTTCCTGAACAGAGATAAAACAAGCTAGAACACAGCTATATGCAATGGCTGACTAATTCAACCCATGTCATGTTTAACTGTACCCAGAGTAATGGATCCCTCCCATCATCTTAATGTCTGCGTGCTCATTATCACTATGCTTAAAATAGATGCAATAGAATATATCCATTGCAAGGGCTTCCAGACATGGAGTAAGGAAAAAGTTGACTGATCAAGCGCCTTTCAGGCTGTTGTCAACAAGGTGATCCCCAGGAGAGCTCTGGGTCCCTTACGCCCTGGAGATGAAGCACCTCTTACTTGGCTCTCCAAATATCTATTTTAAGCATTTTCCAACTGTTAAGCTGGCTGCGTTTTTGCCCAGCTGGTCTTTGTGTGCTTGTTGAATATTATTTTGCTTGTGGTTTGCGGTCATTAAACAGAGTTACAGAAGAGGTCCCTGGTGTGGGCCCTTTCTTAACTATCAATGGCCCACCACAGCAGTCAAAACTCCGGGTGGTTTTATTGTCACTGGAGGGAAACCAGTGGTTTGGAATCAGGAGACAGGGATATGAAGATGTATAGGGTCCTCGAATGTCCAAAGCGAAGGTGAAGAATGGGTTGTCTGTAAGTAGTAATGTTAACTAAACTGCATAAAAAAGGTGTGTGGCCTTTGTTGTGATATAATATGTATTTTCTTATATGCATGAGCCAAATTGTTGCATCATAATTTATCATAAGTGTGTCCGCCTTTACTTTCAGTCATCTTCTCCCATCCTTATTGGTTCTTGGCAATTACTGTAGATAGACCTTGTAAATATTGCAACCCCAGGTTGCTGTAATCACGTTGGTTCAATTCAGCAGACGGAGCTGTGAACAACAAGCACTCCACTGTGTCCTGAAGACAAAAGGGCATTTTTACCTTTGAACCAAAAAAAAAAAAAAAAAAAAAAAAAAAAAAAAGTATGAAGAGTTACATCTTGAGGCTACTAACTGTAAGACATTTTTAAAACTACTGTACTTGACACCACTTGAGACAGAGACACTAAAGATGTCACGATATTCATTGGTATTGTAACAGAACTGCTATTGTATGGGTTTTTTGTATTGCTGTTAAGTATTGTTTTGTGTGTGTGTGTTGGAACCTACTGGGGACATGTTATATTTTGAAGTGATTAAACTATTTAATTGTGTGTCTATATTTTGGAATGGAATTATTTCTTCATTAAAAAGATTTTTAAAAGTAATTTATGGAGCATCATGTTTGTGGCTTATTTTGGTTTTGGAAGTCCTGTGCCATAGAGCCCAAGCAGGGTTCTTTTTCAGTAAGGAAGGAAAATGAGTCCCTGTGGTGCAGCAAGCCATCTTTGCTTCACACACCTCTGTGTGAGAGAACTCCTTCCACCGCTTTTCCCAGCACTTTGGGTGTGGTACCCATCAGCACCTACTTTCAGTGGCCAAAGCAGTTTCTTTCTTCTTCCTTTCTTAATTCTCTGTCTCTTCAGCAGTTTGACAACCTGAAAATGCAGTTCCCCTGTCTGTAAAACATCTCCCCCTACTTCCACTTAACAGCAATAAAAATCACCATAAGCAGAGACATCAGGGGCCTGACAGGGTGCCTGGTACAGACTTTTGGGGGAACCTTGGTACTCCAGAATTTATCTGCAATAGTGTAATTTCTCTTAACTCCTGTGTTTCCCTGTCCTTGGAAGGAGCAAAACCTTGGAAGAGCTGCATTTTAATGACTTTACCGTACACATTAGTCACGTCACTTTTTATTGCAGAAGGACATGAAGTCTTTGTTTTTCCAATTACACTTTTAAGATGTCTTTCCATATCAGGTGTTGCTAATTACAACCAGTTCCTAACCTAAAAAGAGCACTGAGCTGCAAAGCAAGAACTCTTAAAGCAGCAAGTTTGTGTCCTGTTGAAATGCCCCCGAGCATGGCAAAGGCAGTCGGGAGGCAATGCCTGGCTGTGGTTTTTATGCCCGTGGTGCTGGTGGTGTTCCTCTGGGCAGCTTGTGGAGGTTGTGCTGGTGATGCATGTGGCAGCCCTTTCCTGCAGATGCACTGCAGCCGACCATGGCTGTACACATGACATTGCTAACAGGCCAATTAATCACACTGGGGCGGGGACTGTTAGAAGGGAAGCGGTAGTAGCACACCAAAAATACCCTCTATCTACTTACCACACATCCCAGTATCCTGGGAAGCAGATAAAACCCAGTCTGCTGCCGCCTCCTTCAGCTCTGAGTGTTGTGGTAACCCATAAATCACCAGGGTTTATTTGCCCTAATTCCCCTGTCTACATGGTGATGTTCTTCAGTAAAGATGACCATTTTACACTGTAGATTATTTGCCAGTTCTGCTGAACTTTGCCTCCACAATTCCAGTCCAAATTCATATCCACAGGATTGTAATATATGATGACATACCATCAACTCTTGGGGATAACTGCTTTATCCATGCATAATCCCAAATTGCTGTATTTCTTCCTAGCCCACAATCAGCCTATGGCCTTGGGGGAACAAAGGAGCCAGTGGAAACTAATTTATAGGCAAAGACTGTTTTCCTCTTTGCCTCTTGGTTACTCTAGCTATTTTCTGCTCCCCACAAGGAAAATCTACTCGTATAAGAAGAAAAAAAAATAGTTTCATTTGCAAAAGGAAATAATAATATAAAAATAGTAAGACTTTTTAAAGAAAATATAATAAAATAAGTGGTCTTTAGATCTGGGACGTTGGCACCTTGGCTGCATCAGCGCTGAACTAAGGGACTGAAATCATCTGGAACTTTCTAAAAGCACTTGGGAGTTTCATTCACCAGCAGACTCATCTATGGCTGCTCTTCCAAAGCTTGCCTGGGAGGCATGTTGCTCAGCAGTTGCGCATTCCCTTGCAAACAGCCCTTAGTTCCTTTAAGAGAAATCACAGAAATACCAAGCTGAGTCCTTCACAGAAATTGGCTAAGTGGGGTGGGAAGAGAAATCTCTATAATTTCACAGTGAAAAAATGCATTGAAGAATTTAATATGCTTCAGGATCATCCCATCTAATACCCCAGATAACCTGCAGATTAAGGATTCCCCTTCGCTTTCTTCTGACTGATTGCCACCAGCCAAACTGTCTGCGGATTATCCCACACTGCCAGCACAGCACCAACACGCCTTTGGCTGCAAGAGTCAAAGCAGCAGAATTAGGCTGCACCTCTCACCGGCTTCTTGTTCCCCTGGGAGGGGTACAAGCCAGTGACGAACAGGCCCCAGACTGGAATAAGCCTTTCTGAGGGCTCACAAGTCTGGAGCTTTCTAGAAAATCATGTTTGGGG